AACTACCATGGGTCGAGCACTGACATGCGACAATCTTGAAAGATGTTTTAAAACGTTTACATTGGATGAAACATCGAACACCGCCGAACTAATGTGTCATCCAGGTTATCCGAGTGAAATATCCATCGGTGGTTGTGGAACGGGACAGCCGGACGAATTTTCTTGTTCGCTCGATCGTCAGCATGAATTCGATCTGTTATTCAGCGACGAATTTCGACAACTGTTGGCTAAATATTGTATTCATATCGGGACGTATGCCGATATCGATCACAATTATAAACAAAATTGATACAGGTAAGTGAAATGATGATGTGGCAAGTCCGCATACCAGTCACCACAATCCGATCGTCCAGCGAATTGCCACGAGCATGCCAAATGACTGTGACTTTGATGATGAAAATCGACAGTTCGTGGAGACCATCGCGACTATGTCCCCCACCTAGCTGATCTCGGTATGTCGCGTATTTTTGGTTCTTTATTCGTTGCTTGTTCGTTGTTAACAGAGATGAATAAAAACATTTGTTGGCTTCAGAAAAAACACGCCATTCGAATTCAAATGTTTAACAGTCTGATTTCGGCTAGCTCGCCGAGGCTGTTCAAGCAATGGGTTGAATTCCGTACGACAGCCATGTCCCCGACGAACTATCGGTGACTGCATTCTAAAAAACAATTTTTGCAGAAACCGGTACCCCTTCGGAAACCCTTTGAAAGACCCTAACCGTATCCGTAAAGATTCCCAGAGCCATGATGGGTTTCAGGAGGTCCGAAAACCTATTTGGTTTCTGAAAACTGGATACGGAAAGCCTTAAAGGTATTCTCAGAAACATTGGACTATCTCCAAGGGAGAAAAGAGGATTCCGATATCTTCTTTATCCTCTTGGTATCTCCGTGTCCCTATCGTATCCTCTGTGTTTCCACCGCATCCCGAGTCCTCTTAACTTCTTTATCTACGCAGCTTATTTTGGCTATTTTTTGTTGAAACTCTCATAGTATCAATGGACTTTAAATAGGTCGAACAAATTGAAGAAAAGACTATTGCTAGCATTAAAAATCAAGCATACTATTTGCTACTCAGTTTTTGAAATAGCAAAAATTTACTAAAGTATCCTTTATTCGAAAGATATTGGATAACATAAGTACAATCGCTTTGAAACAGTTTAATTTGGTGTGAGTGTAGATACGGGTGTGGGTGTAGGGGTAGATGTGTGGATGTCGGTGGGGGTGTAGGTGTGTGTCGGTGTGGGTGTAGGTAGGCGTGGGCCAGGGTGGCTGTTGCTTGAAAAAGATAAAGAGACACCTAGACCCACCCACACCCTTTATTGCATTTGAAAAAAAAATTGCAGATCTACGTATCTTTCTTGTTAAAAAAAAATTGATACACGAAAGAATAGTGCTAATAAACAAGTCATGTTTGTTTTTGGTTCATCCTCCCAACAAAAATAGATACTGTTTTTCTTTTTTTCCATGTTTCTTTTTATTTCATCAATAAAGCCATATATTTGTTTCATTTCATTTACAATCTTTATATATGAAGAAAACAGAATGTACCTACTCCGAATATGAGATTTTTTCACACTATTCGACTAAGAAGAAAGATCTTGAATACTCTTCGAAAACTTATAAAACACTTCATCACCTAAAACACAAAAGAATCTCTGATTAAGAATTGTTGAACATCAATTCATTTCATGTAAATTTTTCTATAAACATCTATCACAGATCGTTAAAAAAAAACTTATCTTTTCTGTCAATATTCATTGAACCAGGCATCTATTCCATTTTACGAAGACATAGTTTCTATGATGAATTCACCAAGATTATAAAATCACAAATGTATGTTGATCAACCATATCTCTCTCCATATTTATGCTAAAGATTTCGTTTTCATTCATAAATTTCACATGTATGAATTCGAAGATTCGCTTTATTCTTTCAATAGTATCATATCAACAAATACTATCCAATCTTCTCATATTTAGTACTTCAAACTGTTTTTTTTTCTTCTTAAAACGTTGATAATTATAACGAGAAATCATCGATTGTTATCTTGTGTTACTAAAAGTATTTGAATATCAATAAGAAAATAAGCAATCGCATCAATCTTTCCTTCCTTTACTGATTCCTTAAACGGCAATCTAATATTTATTGGTGTTATATTTAAATGAATAAATGTATTTATAATGTTTAACTATCAAAAAAGATAATTTCACGAAAAGAAATAGTTGACACTTAGATAAATTATTTATTTAATTGCTCACTCTCTTCCATGTTTGACATAGTGAGCTTGTGGAAAAAAGGGTGTGGATGTGTGGGTGTGGTTGCCGATGAAGAGAAGCCCCACACCCACACCCATCAACAGTCAATGATATTATTTTTCTTTCTTCGATCGAGAATATATTTTCTTAAATTTTTTTTTTGACTTGTCTAAATATGGGGTCGAACACTAAGAGAAAAGTGACTTAACTTAAGATTGAATTAACCAATCTCGTTACTTAAATCAACCTTAAGTTAAGTCACTTTTTCTAGTGTGCTTGACCCTTATACTTTACTATACGCATACATTTTTCTTGTAAAAATAAATAATTATTATTGATATATTTGAAGATCATCGCAATTATATTTTTATAGAGACGAGTGAGAATCAGCTATCTTCATGAGGAGAGAATCTCGTTGAAAAATCTATAGGAATTTAAAATAAATAATATGGTTTTTCTATAGAATATAAACCGAATCGAATCGAATTGAAATTTTTTCTCTATTGAATCGAATCGAACCGAATCTAACTTTTGCCATTTTTTCCGCGCTCTGGTGAAAGTTGATCATTGAGGAAGTCTCTATGTTTCTTGAGATGATCCATGTAAAGATACTGTTGACAAGAGTAGCGGAGAGTACGAGAAGTCGGTTTTCATGCGTAGAAATTTTCTATTCGTGCCGACTTGTGGAGATGTATTTCGCATCTCCAGAACGAGATTGTTTGAGTTGTTCGTTTAGACAAGTCGTCGATTTCAAATAGATTTTAAATACGATAGCGCAAGACTTTTACGTTCACACATACATCAATGCCTCTCAGGCTACCTCCCCCCCCCCCCCCCCAATAATAGAAGCCCACATGGGCTTCTAAACTGTCGAGCGTCCAAAATTTTCGAGGTGGGCTTCTATTTTGTCCCAAGATTTTTCAAAGATTTCAGGTATTAAAGTTTTTCAAAAGCCTTAAGAGTATTTTCAGAGTTTTTACGGTTTTTTCTAGGGATTTTCAAAGAGATTTCGAGGTTTTAATGCTGACAGATAAGAATTTAGTGCATTTTTACCTTAAAATCCTGCAGCTTTTGAGGCTTTAGTATGAAAATACTAATGAAAATTTCCAAAAAACTCTCAAAAACTTTTTAAAATGACGGGAGCTTCTAATATGTCCGGCAGATCGACCTCTCCAGGGTGGGCTTCTAATAGGGGAGGGCTTCTATTACGGGGGGGGGGGGGGTTAGGAAGAAGTTGTTCAGATGTAAAAATGGATTACGTGATGCAGAAACTTTCTTTTGTAATGATTCCCATGTTCTTAATTTTCTCAATGTATCCTGTGCTTAGGTGAAACAAGAGAATTAGATGAATGAATAAATACTAAACCAATTACCAAAGAGAAATAATTGTTGCGTTTTTGAATGAGTTTTTAAACATGAAAAGAAATAAATGAGTTCAATTGAGAGTGACAGATATTGAGGAAAATCAACTCGATTTAAATCCTTAACAAAATACAAGCCGATTATTAATGATACAATTCAAGATGAGATTAAACTTTGACAGGTATCTGAGAAGATTCACTTTCTTTCAAAGATCAATTGATATTTTCATTGGGAACTCAACTAAACATTCGAGTTCGAGCATGTACTGCGAATGTATGCTCTTTCAATTGATATGCATTCAATAGGTTTCAATTGAATCGAACAGGTAGAGTTGACAGTTTGAAAACAACGCGATCATCTAATATTCTAATAAGTTTATTTCAAGATGTGTCGACATTTTTATTTAGCTCTGCAAATAGAGATAAAAGCGAAACATTCTTTTTTAACAATTTTCTGTCCGTGTTTATTTCATGCTACATATAGTTTTTTCGCCTTTCTATTATGTAAACTCTAAGGTCAGACAAATTTTTTCTTCTTTTTTATTTTTAATTCTTTGGTGTTATTGATTAACTGACAAATATTGCAAGATATTGTCCTTGTGAGCGCAACATGAATTGAGATGTTCTGTGTATCGTGTTTTAATTGCATAAATTGTACACGATATAACTAAAATCATATTATATATTAATGAACATGCAATATATTCATTTTCAGTTTGACAAACAAGTATTAAACGACGTGGGTTATGACAAAATTCATATTTTAATGTAACATCCAGTAGTCAAATGATTATCCAAAGAAGAACACCAGTTAATTGTACACTAACAATACCACCACAAATATCTAATTGTGAATGTGGTGATAAACATGATGGTTGCTTTAAACGTTGACTATTATTAAATATACGTGTCAGAGGGTGTGAATGTGAGTGTAGGTGCGGGTGTGGGTATTCTTTCATTCTACACTCAACACGCACTCACATCCACACCTACTTCCACATTCTCACCTACACCCCAGACTCTGTGTTGTGATTGACTACGTAGCGAGTATTGAAAACAAATATATATATTATAGTCCTATTCATGCGTATGGGTATTAGTTTTAGTTAGAGAACTGATTTTTTTGAAAAACTGAAGGTCTTAGTTAGATATGTATGTGATAAGCATTGAAATGTTGTACACCAAGAAAAGTATGAAAAATATTATTAAGAATTTATCCTAGTTCATTATAGGATAACTCGTTTATTTGTTCTTCGAGAATAGTATAACATGTTAGCTAAGCATGATGTACTACTTTTAAGCAAAACGATTATGATTGCATTCATCAAAGAATAAATGCTTGGAATAATATTCTTTGTCTGTTACCGTCAAATTAGACGGATGTCTATGAATTGACGACTGCATTTGTTATGATGGGTTGCTCGGTACTTTCAGATGGTGATTGACATGGATGCAATTGATCAATTAAATGAACGCCACAAGATAGTTCCACGACTGACATTGCGATAAAATGAGGATTGACAATTTTTCGGTGAGAAAAAACACTAGAATCACTTAAGACCGCATGAAAGCCACTTTGAACCATAGTAGCATCTTTAAAACGAGCACGTTTTGGCAATATCTGACCGTGTCGTTCTGGAAAATGCTTTTTGAGATTGATGCCAAGAGCATCACTCTCCTTCGCATCGACTAATGTACCGGGATTAAGCTGCCAATGTGGATTTGTAAGTACTTTAATTGTGGTTTCGTATAAATTCTCGATAATGCACAAAGTTCGATTATTGAGTAGATGAGTTCTACTGTATGCTGCCCGACAAGAAGCACACGAAGCCTCTTTTGCAGAACGCATATGACATATTTGACAAGAGCGTGTAATTGGATCAATAGATCCTGAGGCACACCACTTTCTGAAGATTGAAACAAGATACAATAAATCACTGTCGTGTTCCTTAGCGCCATCAATAACACGATTTCGAGCGGCCTGTTTCTCTTCTTCTAATGCACCAACCATGTCGGACCGAAAACCAGGTGTTGCTAAAATAGGAACAACAGTGGCTAATAAATCCAGAATAGGACCATGTTCGAGATAGGTATCAACTAAGAATGCACTGTAACAAGGGTCAAAGCTGAGTTCGTTGAAAAGTTGACCTCGTCGAGTGATGACATGATTTGTGTCGATGCACGAAAGTTCTTTCAAAAGACTTAGTGATGCTTCGATAACGGTTGCATCAGGAGGATCGATGAATGGAAACTCTGTTGGGTCAAGTCGCAAACATATGATACGAAGAGCAACAAGATCAAGTGAAGATCGACGAATTGCCGGCTCGATATTTGGACGGGTCAAATCTGTTTGTTCATAGAGCCGAAAGCAATGGCCTGGTGCTGTGCGACCGGCACGGCCTGTACGTTGATCGGCAGATGAGCGAGAAATTTGCACGGTTTCAATAATTGGCAACCGACGCTTGTTATCGAAGCGAGCTTCTTTCACCAATCCAGAATCAATGATCAGACGAACATTATTTATCGTCACTGATGTTTCAGCAATATTTGTACAGAAAACTACCATTCGCAATTCACTGTTTGAACCTTCGTCAAATTGAAGAACTTGATTTTGTTCTTCTGGTGAGAGAGCAGCATACAAAGGCAAGGCAACACAATTCTTGGGTATTTTACGATTAAACAGGTCAATAGCTTGCTGTATTTCGCGCGCTCCAGGAAGAAATACAAGTGTATGTCCTTGAAATTGATCATATAATTTGAATAATATAGAGACGGCATGTTCCACAATAGAATCCCTTGAATTAGGAACATAGTCGATATAAACATCATACAGACGGCCTGGAACGTTAAGCACCGAAGAATCAGTTAGTTGAAAAAAGTCAAGAAACTTGCTAGGATCAACAGTAGCTGAAGAGATGACAACATAGAAATCGGTTGGTCTCATTTTTAATAATAGTTTTGCCATACCGATAACAATGTCTGTATATAACGAGCGCTCATGCGCTTCGTCGATGATCAATACTCGAGTATCACGTAAAACACCACTCTCTTGATTCTCTTGAACTAGAGCTGCGTCAGTCACATAGAGAATATCTGTTCCAGGAACTCGATTATTGTCTTTACCTACACTAGCATGACCAACGCGGTAGCCAACCGATTTACCCACTGAAATTCCATCATATTCATTGGCTACACGACGCGCAAGTGAAATCGCTGCGATCACTCGTGGCTGAGTACAAACGACTAATCCACCAAAATATTCAGCAGCGTATTGTGGAAGCTGTGTACTTTTGCCGCTACCGGTCTCTGCTCTAACCACAAGCACTCGTTCTTTCTGTAATCGTCGACAAAATTCATCTTTTGCAGCAAGAATGGGAAGTGGTGTGTTCTGTCGTTCGATCTGCCGTTGTTCGATTGATTTCAATGGTTTTGAAATGGGCAATTGTAATTCTCGATTATTGTTTTCTTGCTGCTGTTGCTGTAGAATTCGATCAGGAGGATGAGACGTATGAGAACACATTATATCAACACATTTGCTACCTACTTCGCATGGATCCCATTCAGGAGGATGTAAATACGCACAGTAGAAATTACCACATGCATTGCCCTGATCACATTGTGCCATTCGACCTAGAGGATGATTAAGTCGGCAGTAAAATTCCTTGCATTCAGTGCCATTCGAGCATAATTGTCGAGTGGGTGGATGGGGACATCTACAGGCACTGTTATAACACGCTTCACCAAACGGACAATCTTTCGGTCTTGTATCTGGATGACGTGCTGGACATTGCCAAACGCGACATTGATTTCCTGCGGAACATTCTCCAGATCTATTAGAAGGGTGCAGAAATTTACACCAGGTATTCCTACATTTTCGCCCATATGAGCACGGTTTTTTTCGATTATATGGATGATTTGCTTTGCAGTAAAAATCTTTACAACATGATCCATTCTGACATATATGCCGGTCTGGCGGATGATCAAGTGGACAGTTCGCATTGAAACATTTTAAACCGTATTTACAAGTAGGCTTCTCATACAAAGATAAATCTTTTTTTTGAACTTGCACTCGAGATTTGATAGTTGTATCACATGCATCAGATACTACTGAGCGTATGATGTTTGAAGAATTGGTCGAAGAAGTACAGGTATTGTCTTGCACATCGGAGCTACAAACACTGCCATCTGATATGTTCATTCTTTCAAGGTGATCAACCAATTGTTCAGGATTAGTGTCATCACCATCATCAGCACTTTCATTGTACTTTTTCGAGAGCATCGACACTAAAATAGCTTCATAGAGATACTGTAAAGAACTATTCCTTGTTCTTGATTAATGGAATATTTTATTTTATTTAGATCAACAGAGTGATTCTACTATTCATCACTAATAGGGAAAGATCCAAAGAAAAAGAAGAAGTATTCTCGTATACAGTTATTAGGAGAAGTTCACTCAGTTAGCTAGTGCAAAGTAGGGGCATATGATGCCATTATCAGAAATATGTCGATAATAACCTGAATGAACCACAAAAATGTGGGGAATATTTTTTTTCTAATAGTTTTTGTTGCTATACGAAGTAAATTATTTTAGTATTTTCTGAAGAGTGTGATGCGCTTCACTGTTGCTGTCAAGGATTTTAACAGTTTCTAAAGAAATGAGAGTTGTAAGACGTTCTTTAAACAGGTCAAATAAGCATTGTGGCATCTTTTTTTCCTTGCTTAAATGATTTATACTATATGGTTGGTTAAACAATGATATTAAAATCGTGAACGACAAAATGAATAATTTTGAAGTCTGAAATACATTTTATGTGCAGTATGTTTTCATCTATAAATGTATGATTTTGTAAACCATTCCGACCCAAACTGTAGCAGTGCTTCTTGAGAAACATACTTGTTTTTTGTAAAGTTAAAAAAGCTTTTATTTCATGTCAACAAAACATTGTCAATCGACGGAAAATGAAAGCGGTATCGTGAATTGGAGAACCTCCAGAGGTTTTCGGTAACTTCAGACAAACTTAGTGTTATTTCCGGCAGTAAACCTTCATGAGTCATGCAAAGAAAAGCCAAATAATTGCCAGTAAGGGATATTGACTCTACGTTCCCTAGGTATTCTGTGCTTTTCTACTGGATATATTGACTTCTCTCATCTGTAAGAGAAACCCTCTTTTGTTTCTTTTTTCAATCTGATCTGGTTGTCGAATTGAATCTAGTGTATTATTAAAAGAGTAATGACAAGAAGAAGGATCATAAAGTCCGCTTCTTTCAGTGATCAATTCTTAATGAAAAGGGAGCTGGGTTAAAACAAAAAATGTTCACGTAATTTGTCGAATGTTTTAGTAATCAACAAGTTCTTAATAAAATTAGGAATAACCATCCTCTGAACTAGATGAAT